TTCCAAGACACGGTATCGCTTCATTGGCATTGGCGGCACCTTCTATTGTGGCCCGATTTATCATCTCATGATCTCTGCCCTCCTAGGTTAACGTGAAACAAGCGCGCCGAACGGTTCCTACGGTTAGATAGCTGGCACTTCCTACAGTACTTCTCAACAGTAGGATTCTTATGATGTCGGTCAGGAAGTCCACGTTGCGGCGAGGCCACGCAGCGCCATCATGTCCACGCATTCGAAGGAGCACCCGCGTTATGTAATGTGAAAGTGTTCCGGTACGTTTCGTTAATTAGATACATTCCTTTACTAACTGCAACTAACGAGTGGCATCGTTCCGCTCATGTGGTGGTGGACTGGCCTCTGAGGACGACGATCCCGTCGAAACGTCAGGCCAGGTTTAATAAAGTCTTCCACCTACAAACCTCTTTGGCAGAACACATTACAACTTGAAAGTTCACATTCCTTTCCCCTAAGACGGAATGAGCGTGGCATTTCAACACGGCCCAGAATGCTCTACAGAGGCAGAACCACAGTTGTGCCAAAATGCCAAATTTCTCAAAAATCAGAGCCACGTTTGGTTGTGGAACGCAGCCACGCCCACCACAACTCAAGGATTTCGAGTGTATACTGTCCGCGTGTCGCCACAAAGTGAACTTTCAGGGCTTTCTTTTTGAAAAAAGATGCAGCTATTCACAGCTTCTGCGTTTTCGCCACTGCCTTGTGAAAGTTCTCAAAACACTAAAATATGCAACAAAACTTACCTTCGCCGAGTCCACATTTCTGTTGAGTAGAAGACTGAGCATTGGAGTGCTGAGGAAGTGCTCACCCAAATCGAATACACTCAACGCATCACTGCAGAGAGTGGCGCGATAGGAGATATCATCAATAATCACCAATGAATCGAAATCCGGATTGAAGGACCGTACTCGGATCGTAACCTGAAAACCACTAGACTCTTACACAGCCAGGGGAGCATATCAACGGTACCTCGAAATTCTTGGCAGCTGTGATGAATGAGACCGAGACAGGTGCTGGACTCATTTCGGATGGCAGTGCATAGCATTCGATTTCTTCACCCATAAGCGACACTGCGCACGCCTCCAGCTCCACATCTCTCGTTTTCCAGAATCTGAACAGGATTTGCTTGGCCTCACTCAACCATACTGCTCCTGGAATTACCTTAATAGTAGAGAATTCTCTGTTTGACTCTGGCAGTTGATCGGATCTGAACGCAAATAATCGAGTGGTCCCTGAATAAAGCCCAGTAGGAGCATTAGGGTTCATGAAACTAGCTTTGACACACCTTGGTATCCTGTTCAATATATAACAAAGCATATCTTCCTTCTGGTTCAATATTGCTTCCTGTCATATTGAACAGCAACTCGGGCGGAAGTGTTGACGAAGACGTTCTCCACGGCTGAAAGAAGGAATATGCTTCAAACATGTCTCATAATTAAAGACACATTCCGCGATTTTGACGATTTTGAATGGTGGTTAGTAGGCTCCACATACAAATTTGTAGGTGCTCACTGGGTTACCCGTGGAAAACAGAGCAGAAGAAGTCATCGAGTACGTCCTTAATGAAGCCCGCTTGATTTACAACGTTGGACGGACTTGTGGCGAGGTGAGAGACTAGGGACAGATTAAGTGAGAAATGCAAGGACATCCTCAGGCCAAGTAAGCGAGGACCGCAGTTGCACATCCAAAGGTAAGTCCTGGTTTGCAGCAATATCACACATGAACATTTCGATATGCGAGCTTGTGGTCACGGCACGAAAGCGCAGAGCAAATCTCACGTTGGTCAGGTCATCTAGCCACTGGGTTTTCGCCATTAGCTCTAGAGTGATTCAAAGGCCTACCCTACTACATATAATCCGCTATGTCCGTGCGTGTGTGTGTGCTGTCTGTCTGTCACGAAATTCATAGCGAGCGTCGCAGAAAAGATAGGATGACAGTTCCAAGAAGTGATATACACGGCA